CTTTTTTTCTCTCTCTCTCTCTCTCTTCAGAACTAAAACTTTGATGTGTATTATTGGTGTTGTTAGCTTTTATCATATGCTTCTAATGAAATTTACGTTTGTATTATTAGCTGAGGAATGAGGTTTTGTTTGATCATATTAGGTTTTTTAAAGAATTTAATATTTTCATTGTGTTTAACTCTTTCACCTTGTAATCATTTTGCATTTGTTATAGTTTTCATGCTATAACTTTTAAATTAGTAAGTGTATGTTAAGGAAATTTGGCAGATTATCAGTAAACATTACAATGCTTTCATACGCAAAGTATCAACTTTTGTTATTAAGTCTTAAAATTTGTAAAGCAAGGTTTTTCTTGTGCCTTTTTATTTCTTTTTGCATGATGCCTATCCAATATGCAAAGTAATTTTCCTCTTAAGATAAAAAATACTTTTATGCATCAGAAAATTTTGAAATTTCTCGAACGAAATCCTTATAATGTCCAGATAGCTATCAAATGTTTCTTAAGAAAAACTTTATATTTTATCTGTTATTCTGAGTAATTAATCTCTGTATGGGTTCGGTAGATTTGACTGATCTCGCAACCACCATAAAAAAATTAGGAAAAAATATAAATTATGCCTCTTTCATTTTAGGATGAACACACATTATAACATGAAAACATGAATGTTTAGACTAAATAGCTTAAATCTCATAACATTATACATTTATATATATTTATTATATTGACCTTTCACCCGTGCCTGGCTAACAATACAGAAGTTACAATGATGCTGCTCATGTGCACTCATGTTACCATATTAAAGAACATAAAGTTGACCTTTGGTCTGTACAAAGTAACTTGTCTTAGCTGTCACATTTCAATTATCATACAATATATATGTATATAGATTATTGCTATTTATAAACATGTTCTTAGTTATTTTTATTAAACATAGAACGGTAAATAAAGAAGTAAAGTGAACAATTATCTCTTTTAGTTATGACTTTTGTACTTGGTTGCTGTTTGATGTAGGTTGCTAATGAAATAATTTTGTTTTGGTTTTATATATTCAGTTGAATAACCAGAAAATCTTAAATTACTATATCAATACCATATAATTCTACTATAATTTGTCAAACTTAGTAACAAAGTGTATTTCAGTCTAAAAAAATATTAAATTTCAAGTAGAATAAAGACACAACCTACCTCTTTGAAATCTTGGTTCGAAAGAAAAAGATGGTGTCCTAACAATTTAAAATGGCTAAGAAAGCCACTAGGGGGACATTCTGAGCTTTCAATTGATTATTCATACCATATATAGAAGTAAGTGTATATAAGGGAGTGTTTCCAAAAATAGAAAGAGATGGGCGGTATGCCACTGTGTTTGATCCATTACATGTGCAATATCTAACTAAAGAATCAATTTGTTTTCATATATAAACATAGTTTACACAAATCTCTTATCAGCTAACTTTCAAAACCAATTTCCTCTTTTGATTATAATTTATTAATGTGGCATTAACACATTGTGGGTACAATGTAAGAGTTCTTTAGTGTCATGGTGATGCTAACTTTAGAAACACCTTTAGTAAACACTTAAACCATATACATGTATTCTTCGAAAAACTAGCTTCTGAGATCTCCAATATCGCATGAAATGTATGTATGTTTCTTATATGAATTGGTGATAACAAGTGTCTGAATTTTCTTTAGTTGCCCTTAAACGCTTCTGTGAAGTTAATGGTGCTCTTCCAGACAGAATCATTTTCTATAGAGATGGTGTATCTGATGGACAGATTCACCAAGTTCAAGAATGGGAGCTTGAGCAGCTACATAAAAGTTACAGAGAGTTGGCTTCTGATTATACGTAAGTTGTGCTTAAAGTGGGTAAATTTCTCTGTTGTTGTTATTGTCATGCATCTTAAAAAGGCAAGATATTGGAAGTTTAAGCCCTTATAATCACTTCATGTTATAATGTAAGGTAACAAGAACAAATTCTGAAATCTCAACAAATTGTGGAACTTTTTTGAACAATATGTTGTTTTTTAAGACTCATAACATAGATAAATAAATATCTATACATGGACTTTTCTCCACATTAGAATAAATTTATTTGTAAGCTTTTGGCCCTCTTACCAGACACTTCATTGGGCAACAATGAACTGACTGATACAAGTTTGTTTATTTGTGGAACATTGCTTTAAAATAGGTATCTAGGCAACAATTGTAACAATAACTGACATCTGGTATTACAGTTATTAAACATATTTAAGTTATGATGAATATTGAAAATAAATTGATTACTTCAATATAATAAACATACGGAAAATACAATTACAGGTATTATACAAGATAATTAAAAATTGTTAATCTAAAAAGGCGAATAGGGAACATCAAAAAAAGAACAGACAAGTTGAATCAAGATTCAAAGCTTATATTTTCAAGTCTTTAAAAATGCTAAAAAAGTAAACAAATTTGGCTGGAAACAGTGTCTACATTATTTTCTAATGCTACAAATCCCAATTTTGATTCCATTAAAAATGACAAGTACTGTAGACATGGAGTCAAAATATGGATTTGTAGCTGGAGAAAATAATGTAAACACTGTTTCTCTCTTCTTCTTTTAAGCTACATATATATGCATTCAGTTGAACGTTACATGTTTTTCAACAGTTTACTGCTGCATTGGCTTTTTTTTTTTAAACTAACCATTGTTTACTGAGCCAGGCAAATCAACTTTTTAAGTATGTCTTGGATATTAGCAGCATTTCATACTATATATATATCTAGGTTTTGGTACAAAATAATCATAGCCACTGTTTCTGTAGGCTTGTGAAACAATAATATTAAGAAGAACAAATGAATGAATTTTGTTTAACAATCAGAAAATCAACTTTTTTCCTATTATCAATATTTTAGCATTGAGATACAAGGTCTTAAGTGTTTTTTTAAAAACAAGTTTGCTTTTTAAGATGGTTTTTGCCTGCATGTTCTCTTAGAATTTTTAAACTCCTGGGTGTACCCTATTATGAACCACTAAGGTAGTTCATGATAGTGAAATGAAGATAAATATTTCATACTTCAAGTAACCACAACAATATGTTTTATGTCTTTGATAAATGGTGTCCATGCAGTGTTGCATAGTTGTTTGCCATTGTTTTGACTAATACTCACTAGTGGTCCACTGTCTTGTGCTTGGATGGCAATAACTTTTTTTTGTTTTTTACCATTTGGTGTTTTCTTCTCTGTTTATTGTTTTTGCGTTTTTAGGTCTGTTACATGGTCATTTTCCTGAACATTAAAAGCTATAGCTGATGTATTTATAGCACACGTCGTAATATCTCTTTTGGCGTTCTTTGTACTTTATCTGTAACAGGTGTCCACAGTGTATTGTATATTACACTTGCACCTTGTGTTACAAACCACATGGAGAAGACTGGAAACTAGGTATTTTATCTTCGTAAGACTGTCGCGTAATGTAGGACAACTTAATAAAACTATGGTGATGTTAAACAGCATTCTTCCGGGCAGAATAATTTTCTTTAAGGATGATATATCTGATGGACATATCCACCAGGTTCAAGAATGGAAGTTGGGAAAAAGTTGGAACCATGGAGAGAAAGAACTCAAAACCTTTAGTACTCAACTGAACAGCCAATTTGACAGCACATAATTTTCTATATAACTTGAAGTTAATAGTACTCTTCCATTTCTTGATGTCCTGATTCACACAAAGAAGTAAGTTTAGAAAAGTTGACCATTACCACTTATTGGAAGGAGACTCAAACAAATATCTAAATTTTCATAAATGTCATACAATAGCCGTCCAAACTGGTATTATAAAAGCACTAAAATCTAGAGCTACAAATATATTGACATCATATTACCTAGATGAAGAACTTAAATATCTTGAGACTATTTTCAGGAATAACAGTTATCCAAAGAAAATGATTCACTGTGTGTTGTATAGTTCACTTGTCACAACTACTGAACCTTAACCCGACAGTCACAATGAAAAGAAAATAGCATTTCTTCCATATGTATACCAGGCCTATGAGAAGTATTTGTAGGATAATGTATAAACTTAACATCACTGTAGTTTTATTAAGTTGTTCACTATGCAACAGTGTTATGAAGGCAAAATCCCTACTTCTCAGTTCTCTCACAAATAACAGTTTATAACACTTGGTGTGAGTGTAATAAACAGTACATTAGGGAAACACAACACCTGTTACTGGTAAGGTTCAAAGAACACCAAAGAGATATTAAGAACTATGCTATAAACACATCAGCTACAGCTTTTAATATTCAGGAAAACGGCCATATACTAGACCTAAAAGTGTCAAAATAATAGACGGAAGAAAACACCAAACGTAGAAAAATGAAGGAAGCTTTTGCCATCCAAGCACAAGACAGTGGACCCACTAGTAGGTGTTAATCAAAACAACAGCCAGTAGCTACTCAATACTGCATGGACATCACTTATCAAAGACATAAAATATTACTTGTGGTTTCAATGTGAAATTAAACCCTTAATTTTACAATGTATTATTTGAAGTTTGAAAAATGTATTTTAATTTCTGTATATAATTCCTATAATTGTATATTCCTTATGTTTATCATACTGAAGTAATAGATTTATCTTCTATATTCATAATTTTTACATGGTTAATAACTTTAATACCAGATGTGAGTTATTGTTACAATTGTTGACTCGATACTTATTTTAAAGCAGTATTCTATAGGTAAACGAATTTGTATTGCTCAGTTCATTGTTCTATGTTGAAGGCTCTGGTTAGAGGGCCAAAAGCTTGGAAGTAAAAGCATTTTAATGTAGTGAAAAGTCCATGTATAATTCTGCATATCTCATTACATGCTGATGCAGTGCTGATTAGAAGCTGCAGCCCCAAAAAAAGACCAACACCTTACACTCTTGTACTTTAATAGGTTTGTTATGTTGACAAGTTGTGAGTCATGAGTTTTGACTGTCAGGATGTTTATTTACAACCATAGTTTTTACAATTTTTCAGAAATCTTGGGAACTGTGTATTGGAACCATTTAAAAATAAAACTTTACTGTGGATCACCACAAAAATAATGATAGTAGTAATATTATCCAAATACATTCTTCCACATGCATTTTGTAAATGCTTCAGAGTTGAAATTTATTTCATAAAAAAATGTTGGTTTTATTTTATGAGTAAAAATAGAAATGTTTGCAAATTTTTAGGGTTAATTTCAGCACAATCTAAACAAAAAAACATTAATGTTTGTGAGTTTCCTTAGGTTTTTTTTTTGCATAATACGGCACTTGATGCCTCATAAAAGGAAATTTCTAAATAGTTTTGAACAAGGTAGTACTACTTTGAACTTTAGTACAAGTGAAATGTTATCAGTTTTAGTCAATTACTCTCTCTTATCCTGTATCTCAGCTTTGAGAAGTCATAGGCTAGTAATATAAACACATAATGAAAGTTATTTTTCTGTTTGTTTAGTCAAAGTGGATTCCATTTAAGCACTTGTGTAAAATCTGAACAAATTGATTAAAGCTTAACTTACTAATATATATTGCTAGTAGAAAAGATATGATATGTGAAGAACTTTTTTCTTTATTTTGTTTTATGTGAATTATGTTGTTGTTGTTGTAGTATAATAGCAAAAGATGAGGTAGGCTTAGTTACTCTTTTCTACTCAACCATATCAGGTTTCATTTTGCTAAAAAGTCTGCCATCTATTACGATATGCTTAAAGAGGCAAAGATATTCTCCAAAAATAAATGTAAAAAAAATTTAAAGCTCACTACATATGTTAAATGAAAGCTGTATTTTTTTTTTTTTTTAATTGGTTTGTTTATAATTTTGGTATGGTAAAGTTGGTTTTATTGTATGCCAGTGATTGTAAACTGTGTGTGGTGTTTTCTGAATCAAAACAAAGGTTAAATTTACAGTTCTATATAATTACTTTAGTGGAAAGCTTTACAATAATGTAGGAAGATACAAGAATTTGTAATTAAAATGTAGAACAAAGGTAAGCATTTTTAATTGTATATTAAACATCACAACAAAGTCGTTTTGAATTTTATTTGAAGAAGCTACATGATCTGTAGATAGTTCATCTCAGGTTTCAAACTATTCATTTCATAATTTGTTTGAAAGGATTGTTTTTCAAAGCAGTAAAACAAATCATATAATAAGTGCATCAAAGCACATGTGTGTTTTAAGAGTTAAAGAAGATTTAGGTAGAAATGTTTTTCTGTGTGTGTGTGAAAATGAAAAGTTCAATGGAGGAACTGCCTGAAATACTTGGGAATAACATGTTTTTTAGGCAATTGATTCACTCAACGCATTAATAAAGAAATACTGACACTAATTGCTTAATAACTGAAGTTATTCAACTTGCTTCTACTTACACGTTTCTTTTATGAAAAATACTAATCACATGATAAAAATAAAGTAAAACACAATATCTTTGATACTTGTATTGAAGTTTCTATAGTTGTTTTGTTTTTCTATTACAATGAAGTTACATCTGAAAGTATTGTATATTTATATTCTGTGTTTTGATATATTTGATACATTAAAAAAACTTGTTATTCCACTCTTCACTTTAGACCAAAATTTACCTTTATCATTGTTACAAAACGAATATCTACAAGATTCTTTTCCAAAGGAGCTAGACAATTTGATAACCCGCCACCTGGTACTGTGATTGATGATGAAGTAACACGTCCTGAAAGGTGTGTTTTGAGATGTATATAAAGTGAGCAGCATAATGTGCTGCATTTGATATTGAAATGTCATGCAAAACATTTAGATTGTAATTGTAAAAAGCATACAGATAAAGAACCCAATATAAAATATGAAATAATATTAATGTACATCAATTTTTAAAATTTTATCCAGTAATACCTGTTATAATATCTGTCTTGATATGGATTTTTGTAACTAGGAAATTGTTTATATATTTCTTCATTATAACTGAGACCACATGTTTCCCACAGATATGACTTTTACTTGGTCTCCCAAAGTGTTCGTCAAGGTACAGTAACACCTACTCAGTATAATGTTATCTGTGATACATCAGGTCTTAGTCCTGACCATATGCAGCGATTATCATATAAGCTTACTCATCTGTATTACAACTGGCCAGTAAGTATCGTAAAAATTATTTATTGAGTTTATCTTTAACTACTGTAAAAAATATCTTAACCTTGCATGCACTTGGTCAATCCATGGCATTGAGCCAGTATTGGGAAATTAATTTATACTGTAATTCTGAATATGTTTAATATATCTTTGTGACATTTGATAAGCTTTTAGTATATATTACAGGTATGTTGTGCACAG